TAACCCAAAAAAAAAAAAAAAAAAAAAAAAAAAAAGGAAAAAAACCCACAGGAGTAAGAATTTCCATGAAAGGAAAGAGGGCCATCCTGGAAAAACCATAAAATTCCATCACATATATAACAATGGCAGTAATAAGTGAAATTACTTGCATTTAAGCAAGTCATAAAACTTCTAGAAAACTTATGACACCCTAAGAGGAAATGGACCTTTTAAAACTCTAATGGAAGTGTCTGAGTTACAAGCAATAAAATCTGCATGAAAAACAAACTTTTTCCTCTCAATTACAACTCTTTGTGTAAAATACTGGCATATTTAAATCTTTGAAAGCATGAAAGCAAATATCCCATATGAAACTTTTTAAAAACAAACAAAAAAAAAGCTATTAGATGTTTAATCAGAAGTGAAAAAGTTTTTTAAAAATTGTGTAACTGTACAATTTTCAGGAGGTAACAAATGTTTCAGTAGCTTAGACTTAGGAGAAAGCCATCTTTGTGTGTTCATAGGTGTCATCAGTTCACATGTCTCTTTTCTGTGAATGTGATGACAACGTGGCTCTCCACACTCAGTCAGTGCTCACCTTCACACTCTGCTTGAGCCGGTGCAGCTGCGGGGGCAGAGGCAAACCCCCCACCAACAGAACTGTCCTCATGTTGGGTAACCCAGCCATCAGCTCCTTCGCTTGCCTCTCGATCTGAATTGCCAACTCTCTCGTTGGTGCCAAAATAAGGGCAGATGGAGTTTCTATCTGGAAAGGAGAGGAAAATCTGATAAATGTGGAATTGCTTACTGTTTAGATAAAAAGCTTTCAAATTTCCCAAAGTAATCTTTTACATTAAAAATGAGAATAATTTTAAGCAGCAAAATAAAATTACCTCTCAATATATACATTAACTTGTCCAGTACCCTGAAGATGAAGAATGGGAAAGATTGTGTACAGATGCATTTTTCATTGAGAATCCAATTCTGCACATGTTACTATAAACATACATCTGTCCTGCATACTTTAATGATAATCAGACAGAGGACCCACTGGAGCGGTTTTTTTCCTACCCACTTCTATATAATGCTTTTGTTCTTAAACTAGAGTTCAGGAGTTACTAGAGTACTTTAAAGAATAAAAGAGTTATTTAAATAATCTTTCAATTAGTCATTTGAAAAACTTTACACATGCTTTGTGTATATACATTCAATAAGGTATCTAAACAGTGCAAAGCATCACTAGAATCATGTCCAAAATTCTCAAAAATATTTTTATGCATCTCTTTTTGAATAAAACCCATAAAGCAAAGAACAGTTCTGAACCGCATACAAGGTACAGAATACTATTTGCCACTGCTTCTAATCATACATTCATGTCTTTACAAAGCAGAAATTTTCTTAATTCCTTTTCCTACATTTTAAAAGTAGAGACTCTGTAACTAGAGGATTTCAGATTTTTTTTTATCCCAAATTCCTGTAATTACTTGACAGTCAACCAAATATATTCCAAGAGAAATTACTCTGTGAAGTTATACAAATTCCAACAAATCTCTTTGAGCCATTTGATATATGAAGATACAGGAAGAACTTACAGAGGGCCTGGAATTATTTTCACTTTCTATTCTAAGTCATTTAGGAATTTTACCACAGAATTTAATTAACTTTATCAACAAGCAGGAACTGTGTAACAGGTAATATTGACAGAGTTTCATCTCCTGACCAAAGTGAAAAAACATTCAATTTAGTTAAAAATAATCAGCATCTCCCCCCTCCAAGAACCGAATGCTTGATTAATCAAAAGTCAAATAAATCACTGAATGTTAATGAAAAACACTGCAATCACATTCTCTATTACACTGGGAATCCAACAGACAATCCAACTATCTGAAGTTTCATTACCTCTTTCAAAACCTTCATAATAACAGGAAGCAGGAAAGCTGCAGTTTTTCCAGAGCCCGTGTCAGCACTAGCCAGAATATCCCTCCCTAATAGTCCAACAGGGATCATTTGCATTTGGATGGGAGTTGGGACTTCATAGCCAGAGTTCTTTAAATTATTGTTTAAAGCTTCAGGAAAACCACAGTGTTCAAACTCTACAATAGGTCTTGGAACTTGCTGGCCCTGGACAGCAATACCTAGCTGGAGTTTAAGGTTCTCAACCTGCTCATCTTGCAAACCTAAAATAAAGGAATGATCTTTGTAGAAGTAAGGTATATTAAGCAGGTGAGCTTCTGCTTGAGAATCTGTGGGTTGATCAGATGTTAGCTGCTTTTCCTTTGTTTGAGCTTGTAGAAGGTGTTTGGCTTTACATTCCAAACTACAAACATCTTCATCTGTTTTATCGCAGATATACTCCCCATAGCGGCCACACACAACACACACAGGTTCTCCAGGCTCTGCCCAGCGCTGGGATTTGCTGAAGGATTTTATCGGTTCTTCCAAAGAGCCATCATCCTCAGTATTTTGGCTGTCCTTTCTCAATGGTATATGAGCAACACCAAGGTCTGCAGCTGCCAGTTCTGTTTGTTCTTTTACAATTTCACTTGAACTGTCTGTTGAAGCAGAAGTTTCTGTTCTAACTGACTTACAGTCCTGGAATTCTGTGGTCTCCTCTAGCAAAGATCCTTCAGAAGACAGTTTATTTTTCTTAGCTGTACAACTTTTGTCCCCATCAGCAGTCCTCTTGACTTTAACAGATCGTGGTAAAAACATGCTTCATACACTAGAAAGAAAATGGTTACAGTTGTTAGAAACTACTACTATAGAAAAAGGTACATTTTACTGCTACCACTAAAAAAAAAAAAAAGTCTAGCAAATATTGGCAAACACAGAAACCAGCACTCAATCCCTGAAAAGATCTATAATCTGCCTTTTTTAAATATTATCTCGATCATAACAATGTTGATGCAAATGTCAAGAAGCATTTTAAAATAACGACGGAAGCACTGAACAATATAGAGATCTATCTACAGTTAATTGCCGCTATCAGGCCTTTGCAGCTGAGTAAAAACTCTTTACACAGTGTGGAAATTTATCCACTTTGCAAGTCAGTCATATTTAAATTCTTGGACAGTTCACCTATTTATAAGATGAAACCACAGATGCAAGCATTCTTCTAAGCTGTGGGGAAAACCCCAACCAACTGAAACCAAATAAATCAATCAATTCTGGAAAGGATGTAAAATTCAATACAGGATCCATTCAAGATCACTCCTTTTGTTGCACTTTTTAAAGTCCACTTAAAATTATAAGGATGCAAACTTTGGAGATTTGTTTAGAGTCCAGCTCTGTTTGTTCACGGTGTCCAGAAACAAGCCAAGACTTACACAATCAATTTGCCAAATATACACCTTATATACAAATTAAGTGTTCAAAAATAACCATCTTTTATATTCTGAAACTTCCAGTATTTGCCTCCAAAAGTATACGCTATCCTCACCAATCCTTTGCTATCGTACAATCAGTAAAAAAGCAAACAAAATATGGCAATTTTATGCTGAATAAATTGTACCGTGCCTACCAGTTTCTATGAACTTCGTCTCACACAAGTTTTTTTAAAAATACACCAAGATATGTCTGTGTGCACAGACAGCCGTGTTTGTGTAACTGGGAGCAGTCCCGAGGTCGCGGCAGCAGCACCGGCCCGCAGAGCTCGGGCGGGGGGACCGCGGGTGCCGGGGGCCGCTGCTCCGCCGTGTTTCCGGACCACAAGACAAATATCACCATGTAATTTTTCGCGCCTAATAAGAATCTCCCACAACGAACCTGTCTGCAAGCTCAGCAGCCTCTCAGGTGAGGGGAGCGCTCACTCGAGTGAACGGGCTGACGGACGCGCTGCTAGGGAGGGGCCTGCAAAGGACCCCGGGCAGCACCACACCCTCTCCCAACCCTACTGTCCGGCAAGCGGTACCCACCCCACGGGAGAACAAGGCAGCCCGGGCCTTTTCCGCCCGACAGGAGACTCCGCAGGCGGAGTCCGGCACCGGCCCCCCCCGCCTCACGAACCGCTGCTGCCGGGCCGCCCGCCGCCTCCCGCACAAAATGGCGGCGGCCGCACGGGGCCGCTCCCGCCCACAGCCCCGGCGGGCAGGACAGTGGCGCGGGCGGGTCCCGCAGCCGGGGCCGCCGGGCCTGCGCGCTCCGCCGGGCGGGGGCGGCCGCGGCTACCGGAGCTGCTGCCGCTGGGCTCGGCCTGCGTGCGGGCCCGCAGGCGCGGTTGTTGCCCACTAAAATCGCATTCGTTGCCCAGTGTGCAACAAGGCAATAATTACACACCCGAGAGAGACACCGATTACTTATCTCAGAGTTGTGCAAGCTTGGGTGCGCGGTGGTATTCCACAAATCAAGCACGTCAATTATCAAAACTTTTTATTATTTATATATTCTAGCCGACAAAGAAATTAGTGTTCATTGGCTACAAGTTACATGGTTCGCTTATTTATCAGAATTCTGTCTTCTGTTGCTAATGATTCCCTCACTTCTCGTGCTAATTAGTCTGCATGCTCATTCTTTCTCTTTTGAGTTGGTGGGCCATCAGTCGTGGTTGTGATCTCCCCCTGCCACAATTACCTTTCACCCAGTCGGAGCTGACTCAGCACAGTTGCTGTGTTGTCTTTATTACTTTCTTCCTTATCTTGGGAATTCTGGTGACTCCTCCATTCCTGTAAATCCTGCATTCTTTGTGTCCAGTATTAGTGGATATTCTTCTCAGTTTTTGCCAACCTCCCCATAGGTCTGAGGTCAGTGGAACATGTCAAGTCCTAAATTGTCAAAAGGTACTTCCACCAAGTAATTTGCTTTTCTAACACCTGGACATCACTTAGAACTTGATTGTTAGCTGTTCTTTGTTTCATGGATTAAATTTCCCTTCTTGTTGATTAGGCTTGAACGTATACAAAGATCAAACAAAGAACAATCTTTCTTCTGAAAACTACATATTCCACATTTTGCAACACTGGCTCTGCTAAGGGTCATTCGAGCACTCCTGCAGTTACAGCCCAAGTTGATCCTACAGACACAGATGCTACAGATACACACATTTGTACATGAGGAAAACATTCCTGCAGCACACAACAGAGCCATAAGGTACACAAGAGAAAAGTCCTGTACATGCCCCAACCTGCTATGACAGGCACAGTGACACAACTATTCATGTATTTTAAACTGAGTAAGTTATTACTTTCAACAATAAATAAGCATATTTGCGCTACATTACAAGGCATGAGAACACAGAATTTATCACATTTCACTACAGGGCAGAAAATACTTTCAGACTAATGGACAACCTGTGCTTTGCAAGACAGCCCAGATGCAACTGCTGCCCCAGACAAACCCAAGTTCATGGAAGAGTACTGGGTTTGTATGTGTATCCTCTGAGAAGGCTGATGGTTTTAGCTGCTTGGCTGTTGTGAACAGGTGGTCACTACTACTCCCTTGCTTTCCAAGGACTCCTGTCACCAGAAGGAGATCAGTCAACTGGTCCTGGGTACTTCTTTACAAGATCAAGACCTATCATAGGTGGTGTCACTATGTACAGATCCAGGGTTGGAGCACATGCAGGAGGACCAGAGTATCTCCAATATAAAAGTATACCCTATGACCATAAATTAGCTGGTGCATAGCAAAGATATCCTGCAGGGAGCTCTCTAGGTTGATGTACTCCCAGGCACTCCTGATGCCCTAAACCTTACCTCCTCCCTCTACTCCAACATTAATCCCATTAACCTGAAAGCATCCATATTGATAGGGAATTCCAATTCTGCCTCATCACTTTTGTTGGTGACTACCACCATCACCATTTCTTGCTGAAGAGAAAATCATAGCTCCTAACAGCCCCTTTGGAAACACAATTTAATGTCAGTCCAGAGGACCGGTGATTGGTGGGTAAAAACACAGACAAAGCTGGGGGCTTTCAAGCAGCTGCCTACAACATTCTGTAACATTCAAGTCCAGTCACACGTGAAACATGGTCTATCTTAAATTACCGTGCACTTCTCTTCAGTAGTTTGCTACAACAGTAGCAATTCAAAGTGCTAATAGAGGAGTTTGTTCTCTCTGGGATTTTTAATTAACTGGTAGAATTAAAAATATTATTGAACATTTGGAAACTGGGCATCACTAGAGTAAAAAACAGTCAGCCACCTTCCTACCTACACTCCATACATTCCTGTGAAAATCCCCACGTCCCTCTTTTTCAGCCTCCATCATTCCCCTTTGTTTGCACTAACTTTCTTTCCTTCATTTTCCCTTCCTAACAGAAGCAAATTTCCTTTTCTTACTTCCATTTTTACAAGGTCATTTCCTGGAATTCAAAACATCAGTTGCTAAACAAAGACCAGTATTCCAGCAATATTTAATATGCTATGAGATGTTTCATAACCTATACAGTACATGCACCAAAATGCAAACATCCTATACGTATCAGCTTTTTCTATTTTTTTCAGTGTGTAACAGCAGTAAGAAAAAACAAAGTTACTTTGTAGGAAATTCTCATTTTGAGTGAGAAAGACTACAGAAGAGATTGAAAAAAGTTTAAGAAAAGGACTCTAAGGATATTCAGAGACATGAAAGGGCTTCCATGCAAGAAACAGCTATGTAGACTCAACAGTCTGAAAAAGAGATGATGACTAATAACAGGTAACAATAGAACTACTGTGCCTTGAGTGGCTCATATAGGCTGGACAGCTCTCAATAGTTCATTATTTCTTCCAACAAAAATTGTAACAAGCTTTATAAAAAGTGCTCACCACTGAAAAGTAGTGCAAGTTCCCACTGAATGTAGTAGGCTATTCTTTATTTACATGGAGAAGTTAATCAGTATAGATGTAACAAAACCTCTCCTGAAACAGATACTGTACTTTGTGACCTCACTGAATAAGTATTTTTTTCCTGGAAGAAAGCATAAACATTCTAGTTCAGTCACTTGCCTAAGTTTTCTTTCAGAATGATAAAATATGTAAGAGTAAGTGCCTTGGTGAATTTAATTCCCATCTTCTCAGCTCTTGATGCTGCTAATGAGATCTGAGGTGAATGACATTTTAATAGGATTTTTGAATTTCAATGTTTGTACCTTTAGAGTACATGAAATGTCCCAGACAAGATGCTCTCAGATATGCTGAAGGGGTTTGTCTTCATATTTTTCCTCCTAAAAACTAGTTAGTTCAAGCACTGGCGGAATAAAGGTGGATTTAAGTCCTGCTAGAAAACCATGAGCAGTTATGGACAGTAATTTTTGTCATTCTGAACAATTTATCTGTTATAAAGGAAAATGCTAAGGTTTCCAAGGCTGTAGGGTAGCATTTGTATTTTGTATGATTACATTGTTATTTAAGTGAGGTAGTAAAACACCAAGACTTTACAGTATTCCCATCTTGCCTACACTCATGTGTACAATAGCTTCTCAGGGAGGTATCATGTACTGTTATTAGAAACCCCTGCACAAATATAGTCCTTATATAATTAAAGTGTCTCTTCAGAGTAACTTCTAAAGTCAATATTAGGAGCTACAGAAATGTAACAACACACACACAACCCCATGTGTACAAAAAGACTAATACATACTGATAGATTTACTACATAAATATACAGCAACAGATTATTTCAACTTTATGCAAATTTCTGTTAGAATAACAAAGACAGTAACTATTGATTAAAAGCCAAAAGAAATAATGAAAATCATAACAAATAGATTATTAATAGTAAGTATCCCACTTTCTGGTCTATTTTAAATTATATCAAGACTTTTTCACTCAAGGTTTATATATCAAATATACAGGAAGTATTCCTGCCCTCAGTTTAACAATCAGGCATTTGCCCTATAATGTCTCACAACCTTTCTTTTGAAGCATGAATCAACCTTTCCTATCACTTGCAAATAATAAATTATTCAGTAAAACATGACTGTATTAAAGCAGGAGACTGAAATCCCTGTAGTCCCAGGCTCAGTAAATCCTTAAAAAACAGGCATTCCATGTACTAATTCAGTATCACAAGCATTGCAAGGAGCTGCCTGAGTGTACCATCCACCTCAGTTCCCCACAGCGATACTGCCCAGAGTGACTCCGTTAATTCCAACCTGAATCAAATTATCCCAGAACCAAACCTCTGCACAAACCTCTCCACATCTCTGGCAGGCAAGGTCTTCTCAAGTTCCACACAGGAATCTGAGGAACAGATAAAACCATCCCAAAGGGTAACTGCCCAAAACATTTTAATACAGAGCATTTTAAGTTTCCTTTGTAGCCAAAATATCTTCACACAATGTTTGAATTTCCCACCTTGAGCTCCCAGCATGTGCAAATCTGCTGAGAATGGACTCAAACTGGAGTCCAACCAGCACCTCGTGCATCACTCCCTCCAGTGGCAAGTGCCAGGACTGACAGATCTGACAATTAAAATGTCTGAAATCACATCAAGAGGAACAGTTTGGGGTTTTCTTTAAGCTATTAATTATTTTAAATATCTCAGTGTATATCCCATGTTACATTATTCTAAACTACGGAATTCCAGAGCCTTGTTGTTCAATAACACTATAATGAATGAAGAACATTAAGTTTATGAAGATGTCAATTAAAAAATAAAAAAATATTCCCTGGGGTCGTGGTTTTTTTTCAAGTGTGCCACACTTGAATACATATAATTGGAGTTAAGAAAATATCCACTGCTTGGGTGGAAAGGAGGAAGAATGTCTTTCCATTCAGGAGGCATGGAAGCCACAGAATGTTTACTTGGGGATTGGTGCCTATGTCTGCTCCACCTGATACCATAAAACTAAATATTGTACTATTGTTTTAATATTGTTCTAATATTGTTTTAATGTTTCAGGATTTTGAAGCCGTTCAGAAGATTTTTCGGTACATACTCAACTGCAGCTCTAACCCAAAGTGTATTTAATGAATAGTTCTTAAATTGAAGGAACCAGTGACTCAATTACTCCACTGGTTTCTGAATTACAGCTTTAAAGGAGCCACACAGGAAAATACAGATAATCTAAAAACAAATAGTGGTGGCTAATCATTAACTAGATAATTCATATTCATACAA